TGAGTACTGTTCTTTTGAGGTTTGTGACGAATTTTGCTGTGGTTTTGATGGGCATTGCATTGAATATGTAGATTGCTTTTGGTAAGATTGCCAATTTTACCATGTTAATTCTACCTACGCAAGAGCATGAGAGCTCTATCCACTTTCTGGTGTCTTCTTCAATTTCTTTTCTCAAAGATTTAAAGTTCTTGTCATACAAGTCTTCCACTTGTCTGGTTAGAGTTACTCCAAGATATTTTATGTTATTTTTGGCTTTTGTAAAGGGTGATGCTTCTCTGATTTCTTTCTCAGACTATTTATCATCTGTGTAAAGAAGGGCTACTGATATTTTTTTAGTTACTCTTGTATCCTGCTACATTACCAAAGGCATTTATGAGTTGCATAAATTTTTGGTAGAATTTTTGGGGTCACCTATGTAAACTATCATATCGTCAGCAAATAGTGAGAGTTTCACTTCTTTTCCAATTTGTATCCCCTTGATCTCCTTTTGTTCTCTTATTGCTCTAGCTAGGACCTCAAGAGCTATATTGAATAGATATGGAGAGGGTGGACAACCTTGTCTTGTTCCTGATTTCAGTGGGATCACTATGAGTTTCTCTCCATGTAGTTTGATGTTGGCTGTTGACTTGCTGTATATTGTCTTTATTATGTTTAGATATGTTCCTTGTATCCCTGCTGTCTCCAACACCTTTATCATGAAGAGACATTGTATTTTGTCAAAGTTTTTTTCGGCATCTATTGAGATGATCCTGGTTTTTTTTTTTCAGTTTGTTTATATGATGAATTAAATTGATAGATTTTCATATGTTGAACCATCCCTGCATCTCTGGGATAAAGCATACTTGGTCATGGTGGATGGTTTTTCTGATGTGTTCTTGGATTTGGTTTGCCAGTGTTTTATTGAGTATTTTTGCATCAGTGTTCATAACTGAGATTGGTCTATAATTCTCTTTCTTAGTAATGTCTTTGTGTTGTTTGGGTATTATTAGGGTATCCGATTATAATAGGGCAATTGTAGCCTCATAAAAAGAGTTTGGCAACTTTGCTTCTTTTTCTATTGTGTTGAACAATTTGAGGAATATTGGTATTAGTTCTTTTTTGAAAGTCTTGTAGAATTCTGTGCTGAAACCACCTGATCCTGGGCTTTTTTTGGTTGGGAGAATTTTGATGACTGTTTCTATTTCTTTAGCAGTTATAGGTCTACTTAATTTGCTTATCTGGTCTTGATTTAATTTTGGTAAGTGATATTTTTCCAGAAAATTGTCCATTTCCTTTAAGTTTTACAATTTTGTGGAGTACAGGTTTTTGAAGTATGACCTGATGATTCTTTGGATTTACTCCATGTCTGTTTTTATGCCCCCCTTTTTGTTTCTGATTTTGTTAATTTGGATATTCTCTCTCTACCTTTTGGTTAGTTTGAATAAAGGTTTGTTTATTTGGTTGTTTTTTTTTTCAAGAACCAACTTTTTGTATCATTGATTCTTTGTATTGTGTTCTTTGTTTCTATTTTGTTGATTTCAACTCTCAATTTGATTATTTCCTGTTGTCTAGTCTTCCTAGGTTAGTTTGTTCTTTTTGGTCTAGAGTTTTCAGGTGTTCTGTTAACTCACTAGTGTGAGATTTTTCCAACTTCTTTATTTAGGCACTTAGTGCTTTCCTCTTAACACTGCTTTCATTGTGTCCCATAAATTTGGGTATGTTGTGTGGTCATTTTCATTGAATTTTAGGAAGTCTTTGATTTCTTTCTTTATTTCTTCATTGACATATTGGTGATTCAGGTGAGCATTGTTTAATTTCCATGTGTTTGTGGGTTTTCTGAAATTAGTGTTTCTGTTGAATTTTAATTTGAAGTCATGATGACCCAATAAGATACATGGGGTTATTCCAAATTTTTGTATCTGTTGAGGTTTTCTTTATTACCTTGTATGTGGTCAATTTTTTGAGAAGGTTCCATGAGGTGCTGAGAAGAAATACATAGATGTACAGTATTGAAATTTCCTCTTGAGATTTTTTTTCATATTGTGTCAAATATGAAATGTCCTTCATTGTCTCTTTTGATTAATTTTAGTGTGAAGCCTATTTTGTTAGGTATAAGGATAGGTACACACACTTGTTTCTTAGGTCCATTTGATTGGAATTTTTTTCCCCAACACTTTACTCTGAGGTCATGTTTGTCTTTGAGGTTGAGGTGTGTTTCTTGTATGCAGCAGAAGGATGAATTCTGTTTGCGTTTCCAATCGGTTAGCCTGTGTCTTTTTATAGGTGACTCGAGTTCATGTATATTAAGGAATATTAATGACCAGTGATTGCTAGTTACTGTTATCTTAGTTTTCGTTGTTGGTGATGTTATTGTGTGTGTGTATTCTCTTCTTTGGGGTTTGGTGCTGTGAGATCATCATTGTCTGTGTTTTTGCAAATGTAACTAACTTCCTTGGGTTGGAGTTTTCTTTCTAGTACTTTGTGTAAGGCTGGGTTTATGGCTAGATATTGGCTAAATCTGGTTCTGTCATGGAATATCTTGTTTTGTTCATGAATGGTGATTGCAAGTTTTTCTGGGTAGTCTGGGCTGGCATCCATGGTCTCTTAATGTCTGCATAATACATGAATGACCAGAACCTTCTGGCTTTTATTGTTTCCATTGAAAAGTCAGGTGCAATTCTGATAGGTCTGCCTTTATATGTTACTTGGCCTTTTTTCTTTTCAACTCTTAATATTCTTTCTTTATTTTGTATGTTTAGTGTTTTGATTATTATGTGGCAAGGGGACTTTTTTCAGGTTTCAATCTCTATTTCTTTTTTTTATTTTACAAGTCTTCTGTAAACTTCTTGTATCTTCATTTGCATATCTTTCTTTAGATTGAGAAAGTTTTCTTTTATGATTTTGTTGAATATATTTTCTGTGCTTTTGAGTTGGGCTTCTCCTTCTATCCCCATTATTCTTAGGTTTGGTCTTTTCCTGGTGTCCCATATTTCCTGGATATTTCATGTTAAGCTCTTGTTAGATTTAATGGGTTTTATTTCCTCTATTATATCTTCAACACTTGAGATTCTCTCTTCCATTTCTTGTATTCTGTTGTTTATGCTTGCATTTGTGGTTCCTGATTATTTTTCCATATTTTCCATTTTCATAATTCCCTCAGTTTGTGTTTTCTTTATTGTCTCTCAGTTTTCAAGTCTTGCATAGTTTTTTTTAATCTGTTTGATTGCTTTTTCTTAGTTTTCTTTAAGGGATTTGTTGATTTCTTTCCATTTTTGTTTATCTTTTCTTCCATTTCTTTAAGAAAATGTTTCATTCCCTCTTTAAGGGCCTCAAACATTCTTCTACACTTTTTTAGGTCATTTTTTTCTACTTCATCAATATTGGGTTGTTCAAGTCTTGCTGTTGTAGAGTCACTAGTTTTTGTTGGTGTCATGTTGCTCTTTGTGATTTTGAGTGAGTTCTTTATATTTATGGTTGTGAGCCTAGCTTTTAACAGCTGAGCCATCTCTCCAGCCCTTTGAGTGAGTTCTTACCTTGTCTGCACATCTTTTCCTTTGATTGGTGTTGTTGGGGCTGTGTCTCTGGTGATCAATCTTCTAGATGCCAGATGTTTGCTCTTCATGGTGAAGTCGGGGCCATGGTTCCAGTCACCCTGGAGCTCACTCAGCATTCCTGGAGGTCACGCCTCACTCATGGGGGTTGTTCTGCAATCTTGGAGGCCATTTGACATGTTCCCACTGAGGTTGCTTGCTAGGGCCTGCTCCCGTGGAGGGCCTGCTCCGACAGAGGTCGCTGGCTTGGTTTGAGCTGGGGTCTTGATTGAAGATATACGATACAGTATTTGGGTTGGCTTCACAGTTTCCTTTAGGTCATCACTTTAAATAAAAAGGCAGTAGGCCAAACTAGGGATCCCAGTAGTCACTAAAAGAAATAAGGTTTCTAGTCTCCTAGACTAGGAATAGTGTGAAATCCTCTTTTGTGAGTTTTCTTGAATCTGAACTATTAGATTTTCAGAATAATTATGAGACCTATTTCACTGTTGATAGTACAATAAATATGTTTGAAAGAAGGACTTTCCAAATAATTGAAAACTCATATTATTCAAGACAGCTTTATATCCTCAACTGGAACCCGAAGGTAGTTCTGATTATTAGTTAGAGTATAGCACGAATGTGAGTAACATTTGTGATGTGATTTGGATTGATGTCAGCAGGCTGTGTTGTTGTAAAAGTAAACCTCAAACTTTCAGTGTTCCACATCAATAAAGAGTCACACACACACACACACACACACACACACACACACACACCCTCGTATAGTCTGAACCAGGCCGGCTGCCCATCTTTGTGCAGTAGGGGTGTCATGCCAGAATAGCTGAGGCAAGAAGAAAGCTAAGGTATTTAAGCAGACTGTGGTGACTCAACTTGAAAGTGACACGTACCAACTCCTTGCTCAATCAACTAGCCAGAATTAGAAACATGGCTCAAATTCAGTTGGATGAACAGCCTCGAAAATATGCAGACAAACGCATAAATATTTCATGAATAAAGAACTGTCTTTAACACATTCTTGATTTTTGACCCTTTAAAATAATCTACTGGAAATCTATAGGCAGTATCACATCTTTACCTTCATGTTGTTTTCCTTAAATGGTTCTTGTATGATGTAGTATATACTGTGTTTTGAAGAAAGGAAAAATTTCTGCTTATCAATTCTAAGATGTCTGTAAGCCAATTAACTTCTCCAAACCCACTTTTTAGCTAAAAATTAAATAGCAATTTTTCATCTGGGGATATATTTCAAAAATTAGGTAAAGGATAGCATTGTAAGACACTTGATATGGTGCCTAATACACAGTAGATGCGGAACAAATGTAATTTTTCATTTTACTTTTATTTGAACTGTCTATCTTATAGTAGGATCTACAGTATACTCAAAATCCTCAAACAGCAATGTCGTTGGTGGGGACAAGATGTATTTTTGCTTAGTTTAAGTGAAATGTCTATTTCTTATTCTTGTAGGTCATGGGGAGTTTTAAAGGTCATGCCCTCCCTGGAACCTTCTTCATTATTATGGGCTTTTGGTGGCTTACAAAGAGTATTCTGAAATATGTCTACAAAAAGCAAACTCGGACCTGCTACTTGAGTTCCAAAACGTTATTGCGTCGAGCAGAGATTTGGGAAGGAATTGTCGCTGTCTTGATGGCTTTTACTGGTAAGTTGGCTGTGTTCTGTTTTCTCCTTTTGAGAATTCATGAGTGAGGGAAAATGTCAACACAAGATTGGTATATACTAAATGAATTTCCTATAAATGTATTTCTTAGTACTTATCCAAATTAAAGTTTATAACTTATGTAATCCTAGGAAAATGATGTTTCATAATTATACAAAAGCCTAATCCTTACTGAGTCATAATATTTAGTTGGCCCATCCAGCCACATCAATTTCCTTTGTATCGTGAATTGGAGCCTATTGAATAGTTAGACACAAGTTGTTCTGATCCCACAAAGAGTACACTCTATAAGAAACCATTAATAAGTGATTGTGGGAAATCTTCAATAACAAATCATTTCTGAGAGATGATAGGGAAAGTTGGGGCTGAAGCTCCACGGCCATGCACTTTGTTTCCTGAGTTGGGCAGAGTCCAGGTAACTCTTAACTTCAATAACTTCTCATTGTTCTTGAACACCCCATAAAAAGACTGCAGTCGTACAATAAGGCTGTAGCTGCTCTTTTGTAAATGGCAACACTTCTAATTTTTCTACTGATTCCTTTCATTCATGTAACTAGGACGTTGTCATGATCATCACACTGTAGGAATTCCCCTGCCCATTCTAGAGCCTAACAAGGCAGTGTCCAGAAAACAGCAAACCTGTTTACATGAATAATCAGCTACATGTAGAGTCTGCACGAATGATCTCTATTCTTCTTAATTGGGAAAAATATCTAAATTCTATATCAGTTTTGTCAACACCCTACTTTGTAACAGCTGCCTAAGGGTACAATATCTAGGAAGTAAACATCCTTTGTATGACACATATCATAAATCCAAACCTCCATGTCACCCAGGATTTTAGTCATTAAATTAGAACCAGTTGTTGAAATAAAAGTACCAGTGTTAAGAATATTAAGCATTTATTTGGATCATTTGTCTATATGAAGATAAAACTGATTATCTAAATCAACAGCTGAACTTTGAAATCAAGTCTAAATCAGTACTGCTAGGTTTTTAGTGGAAAGCTCAGAGGGCGCAATCGACACCACAAGCTTAGATTGTATAAGAGATGACCACATGTCCCTGTGTCTTCACACTAAGGAGAGTTAGGAGAAAAGTTGCTAAAACTGTGGTGTGTTCCTCTGCAGGTATGGCTGGGGAGCAGTTTATCACAGGCGGACCATACCTGAACCTGTATAAAGAAGGCCAGTGGAACCAGCTTCTGGGCTGGCATCACACAACCATGTACTTCTTCTTTGGGCTCATGGGGATAGCCCACATCTTATGTTTCACGACCAATTTAGTTCCCCTTTCTTTAAGCAAGTTAATGTTATCAAATGCCTTCTTTGTGGAATGTAAGTATGAGGGAAATGTGTTTTCTGTTCTTTTTCCATCAGTAGGCATTGGTGTAGTGCTTTATAATAGCATGTCTTTTGTTTTTCATCTTTATAGACTAATTTAATAGATCTGGGCAGACAGTCACTCACAAGCTTTGTTGGCATTTCATGTCTGTCTTTAGATATCATCTACATTGGGTGCTTACATCCTGGTTATTTGGAGCTTATCATTCTTTTCTCTTCTAACAGTGAAAACTGAACTCACCATAACAGTGCATGAATTACTTGAAATAGGACAACCACTCACAATAGAAAATATCTCCCAATCTCTAATTAGCTTTTCAAATATCAGAAACAGAAACTCTGCTAAAATGTGGTATGAGTGTCTAAAAAATGACTTCCTATTTTGAGAGGTTAATAAAAATAACAGGATGCTTCTTTCCTTTGATTTCTCAGATTGTCGTAAGGGGAGGATAAAGCAAGTGCTTAATATTTTGTTATGATTTATGTGTGCATTTGCTGAATTCCTTAGAGTGAGACTTTGACATCAGCTAATATATTGATTATAGCTCCCTACCCTAGTCATGTTTATTAAACATTATCCTACATAGATAACGCTTTGAACAATAGTTGAGATTTTTATGGTATGTTAGATGGGAGAACAAAGGTGAGAAAAGGGGGGGGAATGGGATTAGAATTCAAAGACTCCCTTTCTAAGTAATAGAAAATGTTGACTCTTCCCAAAGTAAAAATACACGGCTATGAGTCTCAATGGGTATTTGCTGTTTGGAGCGATCTTATGCGTGTCTCAAATTCTATGGCGAGAGGGTGGTACCATGGGAAGCCTTTGGTTTTTATCAGAACATATGCTTTGCCCCCTCCATCAGCATTTATCTTCTACAACCACACTCATGGTCGGGAAATGATAGATGTGTTTGTGCACCAGCTTCTGGTCTTTACCACCATTTTGACTGGTTTGGTTACCTTCATGGAATTCCTTACCAAGAGCAATGTACTGCTGGAGATCCTACGATCAAGCCTCATCATACTACAGGGGACCTGGTTCTGGCAGGTGAGTTGGGACGTGGAGCTGATACACCTGGTGTCAAGTGTCTGTAGATTCTCTTCTTAATCGATTTTAATACTTCCCTTCTATGAGCATCGGAGAAGTGATGTTCTTGGAGTGGCTTGGTGGTTCTGGTGAGATTACTATCAGAGCAGCCCTTAAGGAAGCGGGTAGTGTAATCCTTCATTTTGGATTCATGTATCCTTTATGTAGGCATTCTGAGCTGATGATTATGGTTATAAGGAATTACTAGTACTAGAACAACTTATAGAATAATAATCCATAAGCTCATGAACTATATGAGAGACCAAAGAGAGTAAATACTGAGAAACAACTCTGGGATGGCTACCATATGGGTTTTATGTGCATCTTAATTTTATCTTTTTTTTCATCAGAAAGCAATTATCTTCTATCTTGTATATAAAATCTAGGTGTGAAAAAGCATGAGAACACAGTGAGGGAGAGGGCTGGAAGGGGAGACCCAGTGGGGGAAGGGCAGGACAGGAGGGAGAAGGGGAGTAACAAGTCCTGTGTTGTGTGTGATGCAGATGCACCATGGAGCTTAGGATTTTGTGAAACAGTGTGGGGCTAACAAGATGGCTCCGTGCTGAACAGTGCTTGTCAGATTTTGTTCTTAGCACTCATGGCTCATAAACTCCTGTAACTCCAACTTCGGGGGTCCAGCATCTGTGGCATCAGATGGTACCTGGTCAGGGCTAGAACCCTTGCCGAGAATTCCCCAGTGAGGGGCTAGGAGCGTGTTTCAGAGGTAGAGCCCATCTAGTTTTACTGTATCCCTGTGTCCTCACAGTGATCCAGAGGCTAGGTGTTACTACCTCTAATTTGCCTATAGGTATCTTCGGCAAGACCAAGATATTTTCTCATGTTCAAACAGTAATGTAGCTAGGATCTAAATCTAGACATCTCTAATCCCAGATCCTAGACATTTCCCATTTTACAACATCATCAGCTCCCTAAACTTGCCATGCTACTGAGAACATGAATTCTAACAGTGAATGTATATTTTTGAGAGTACCAAGTCATAATCACATTCAAATATAGACATGAACAAAGTCTAGAATGAAGTGAGGATGTGGTTTGATTAGGTAAGGCTTTGAATGGCAGATTTTTTTTTTTAGTCACTAGAGAGCCAGGATTTGGGGTGATGTGGCTATGTCAGGGGATGGAATTTCACATAAGCACTAATAAAGAATTGGCAGGTAGTAGTGAAAGAAGTGCAGTGGTTTAAACAGGGTTTGATGACTCAGTATCCACACATGGGGCGAGAAGAGCTTGTGGTGCAGAAACTAGTAAGGTAGGACTAGGTTTCTGTATCAGTATGAAGTACTTTATTGAAAAAATTATAAATACCCTATAAGGTGATCGATCAATTAATTGCTGACTATAGCCATATAGAATATAAACCCTCCACCGGAACCTCTATGGAGTCAAGACAATGGTATGTAAAGAACTAGTGTGTACCGCTGGAGTAATGACAATGGTACCTTAAGAACTAGTGTGCACCGCACTGCACTGCTTTCCCGTGCATATGTTTAGCCATCAAAAGGAAAGGTGTTTTTCCAAGAGAAAAAGTCTGGTTAAATTGATACCATGAGTCTATGCTTCAGTGAATATTCTCTACTCTGAACAAATAACAAAGATAGATAAGACAGATAAATGCTTACAGCGATTTGAAAATTAAAAAATTAAAAAGAAAAACAAAAAAATTAGAAAATCTCTAACCACATTTTAAAATTATGGAACAGGCCTCCATGACTCATTAAATCTTACATCTTCCATGTGTGCAAGCTCAATACCATGTGAATGACATTACTGCATTCAAATGCCAGCTTGGGATATAGAGTGGGCCCCTTGGACCACAGGTATATCAGTTTCTGTGTGCTGACTGGAAAACACATTCCTAGGCAGGTTCCTTCAAGAAATGGAGAACCCTTTCTGTTTAAGCTTTTTTTTTTCCTTTAAATGATGTTGGTTCTTCAGATGTTGAAGCCTCAGAGTAGGTAGAGTTTTACCCTCAGAAAACCTCTCCCACCATCCTAGTATAGCACAGGCTTCTCTTTAGTGGTGATGATTTCTTCAAGGGATACACCTATTTCCTCAGCACCTGTGGTTGATTGAATAAGAATGTTCCTCGCCATGGGCTCACATATTTGAATGATTATTTGTCAGGGAGTGGAACTGTTTGAAAGAATTTGAAGGATTAGGAGGTGTGGCCTCGTTGAGGAGGTGTGGCCTCGTTAAGGAGGTTTGGCCTTGTTGAAGGATTGTGTCACCAAGGGTGGGCTTGGAGGCTTCAGAAACCCAAGCCAGGCTGAGTGTCTCTCTCTCTGCCTGCCTGAAGATCAGGACCTAAAGCTCCCAGCTACTGCTCCAGTGCCTTGTTCCCTGCCATAATCCCTGAAACTGTAAGAAAGCCCCCAATTAAATGCTTCCTTTATAAGAATTGTCTTCATCATGGTGTCTTTCCACAGCAATAAATTGGTGACTAAGACAGATGTTGGTATGAGGGACTGAGGTATTGCTCTAACAGGCCTGACCATGCTGTTTTTTGGAGGAATTTGGAAGACTTTGGGATTTTGGACTAGAAAAGCAGTTGGATTCTTGAAGCAGGTTTTACTGGGCCCTCCTACTGCAGTGCTCAGGATGGTTTGAACAGAGGGGGCCCAGCTCACGAAATTTCAGAGAGAAGTATTAAGTATTTTAGGGACCATTCTTGTGACGTTTTGGCGAGAATGTAGCTGCTTTTTGTCTTTGTCCTAGAAATCTCCCTGAGGCTAAACTGAAGAATTTCAGATTAATGAATGGCATTGGCAGAGATCTCAAGACAGCCTCATATTGGCTGTCACATGGTTATTAATAATCACTCGTATGCAGATATATGATGAAAAGGAGCATTGGTCAAAGAGAAATGTAAAAATGTGCAGTTTGAGGAGAAAGGTGCCTGACCTTGGTCCCTTTCCTTAATCCTGAAAGAGGTTCCATAAACTCTTTCTCCTAACCTCTATCTACTCTAAGCCAAAACCACGCGGCCATAGCTGCCAGGTTCTGCTGTTTGTTGGGGCTGGAACTTGACTCCTTCATTCAATTACACTGAGCACCAGGAAGTATAATGGAGCTAATTTCCATGCTCAAGGAGATAAAAAGTTTAAAGAAAAGCCTACTGCTGAATAGGATATAGGGTGTGGTGTGGTGGCCTCTGGGCAAGACCTCACCCAGCTGAGCTTCCAACTTGGGGGCGGGCAGAATTAAGGAAAGCTTAAGCAACGAAGCTTCCCCATCAACAGCAGAAAGCTGATGCAAATGTAACTGAATGAGGGGCCAAGTTCTGGTTTTAGAGTGTAGGGAAGAAGAAAGGGATTGTGAAATATCCCTCCTTGACTAATGAAAGCCACTGAGATCAGGTGTGTGTCAGAGTTGTCCTTGCATGGAGGACCAGAGAGGCCTTTGAGTGAAGCTGTGAAGCCTGGATTGCCTTGGAGACCCTAAGGTGGTGGAGATGCCAGAGTTGTGGGACACCCGTCAAGGAGGACTGCATACAAACTCTCTGATCTTCAGTCAAGGTGGAACAGAGCTCACATCTGTGGGCTCCCACAGTTCTCTTTTGATGGCATTTATTTTATTAAATCTTCTCCAGTTTTTGGCCTCTATTCTATATAATCCAGCAGTCAATCCAGTTATATTTGAGACTTCATCATTAAAGCCTTTGTTTTCTTAATATCTCAATCAGCATTCTGATCTCCTGAGTTCCCCCAAAGAATTTCTCATTAAGCCCCATTTACAATGCCCTAAGTTTTCTCCATACTTTTTTTAAACTTTCAAGCAAGTTTGAAGTAAGAAATGAGATCAAGGGCTTCACTCAGTATCTTAGAATACTTCTTCTATTTTTCTGTAAGATTGAATTTAAATGTGTAATTGTGAACAACTGTTGAATGATCCAATTGTCTGGATGGTAAGGATAGTAATATATCTAAAGCCTGATTGAGATTTCAAATAGTCTGAATAAATCAGGGAATGGTAAGACTTGTGCCTTAATCACGTATCCAAGTGTATAGATTGCTTATGGTTAGGAAAAGAACGACCACTTGGATTGATGCATAAGGTGACCCTCTGGTGCCACACTTTACCTTCAATCATGTGCTTAAGTTTTATAATAACCCTTTGTCTTAAAAAACAGTTCCTGTAAGGTGACTCATTATATCCCATGTTACTAAAGGGATGACTGGGATTTATAGATCGATGCCAATAATTTCTCAATATTCAAAACTGCTGAAAGGCAGGATTCCAAAAAGTGTGCCAGTTTCCAAAACCTCCATTTTCTTCTACCCATGCTCCCTTTCCCTGCATAGCCTTCCACCCAGGACCATGTCAGGACAGTGGGCTGAGTCACAAAGGGGCTCTGATGGGAACAATCAGAACCAAGGTAGAAGCTGGTATCATGAAAACACAGCACTGTGCTAATACTAAATAGAGATTATAGCAGGCGAGATGAGGGCATACCTATGCCCTGGCTACTTAGGAGGCCAAGACAAGACAAGGCTGGGAGTTGAAGGCCAATCAGGGTAATTCATGGGAATCCTGTCCCAGAAAAACAGAAGAATAAAAATGTAAACAAACAACAACAAAACATTCTGAAAAATACACATTTCAGACCAACAGGCCCTGAACAACATATAATCTGTAGGAAACAACACTAAGGCATTTATTTTCTTAGCTGTTTTTAACATAGAACAGAAATATCTGGCAGCATTAGTCCCGTATTCCAAAGTGGCAATCGTGGGTGGAAACATGCCCCATCAATTCATCATTTGCATCAGCCCCTGTCAAAGTAGAGAGGCAGATCAAAGTTTCTGTTCCCATTTTGATCCTGTGCCCTTTATTTATCAACCAGTTCAGGGCCATGAGATTTCCTCCTAGAATATTATGCTAGTTACAACTAGCATGTGCTTCTGAATAACTTTGTATGGATTTCTTTATATTCCAAGAGACAAGATGTGTTATTGATTTTAAGAACAGGAAAATGAAGTACTACATGACCCTGTCCTATTCTCTACTACCTACCATCTGTCTGTCTGTCTGTTTATATCATATGTGTATGTCTATAAAACATTACTTATTTCTTTTTTTAAATTTATTAATTAATTAATTAATTAAAGATTTCTGTCTCTTCCCCACCACCGCCTCCCCTTTCCCTCCCCCCTCCCCCAATCAAGTCCCCCTCCCTCGTCAGCCCAAAGAGCAATCAGGGTTCCCTGCCCTGTGGGAAGTCCAAGGACCACCCACCTCCATCCAGGTCTAGTAAGGTGAGCATCCAAACTGCCTAGGCTCCCACAAAACCATTACTTATTTCTTATTGGGTTAAAATTCACATAGCATGGTGTGTTAGTGTTCAGGTACTGTAAAAAGACACCATGATCATGGAAAAATAAAGAAAAGCATTTTACTGGGGCTTGCTTAGTTTCAGTCCATTGTCATCATGACAACAAGCATGGCGGTAATGCAGACAATCATGGTGCTGGAGAAGTAGTTCAAGGTTCTCCATTCAGATCCACAGGCAGCAGGAAGAGAGAGTCACTGAGCCTGGTTTGAGCATTTGAAACTCCAAAGCCTACCCCTAGTCACATACTTCCCCCATCAAGGCCACGCCTACTCCTAAAAGACCATAAATCCTCCTAATCTCTGTCAAGTAATGCCACTCCCTAATGACCAAGCTTTTCAAATATATGAGCAGATGGTGGACATTCCCATTAGAAACACCACACATGGAAACAACCATTTTAAATTACATAATTCGGTGATGGTTAGCATTTCCACCATGCTGTGAGTGCACCATTTCTGATGAACTCCAAAAAGCTTTAAATTGAAAGCTGTGGGTAGTGTGGGACAATGGTCTATATTCTGTCAATTATAGTTTAAATAAACACTGATTGGCCAGTAGCCAGGCAGGAAGTACAGGCAGGACAACCAGACAGGAAGTAGAGGTGAGTCATGGAGAACAGGAGAATTCTGGGAAGGAAGAAGCCCATTCCTCTGCAGTCCTGACATGACCACAGAAGAAGCAAGATGTGACTGCCCCACTGAATGAGGTACTGAGCCATGTGGCTAACATAGATAAGAATAATGGGCTAATATAAGTTATAAGAGTTAATAAGAAGCCAGGCGGTGGTGGCACATGCCTTTAATCCCAGCATTCAGGGGGCAGAGGCAGGCGGATCTCTGTGAATTCAAGGCCAGCCTGGTCTACAAGAGCTAGTTCCAGGACAGGAACCAAAAACTATGGAGAAACCCTGTCTCAAAAATCAAAAAAAAAAAAAAAAAAAAAAGAGTTAATAAGAAGCCTGAACTAATGGGCCAATCAGTTTATAACTAGTGTAGACCTCTGTGTGATATCTTTGGGACTTAATGATTATAGGAACTGGGCAGGACAGAAAACTCAGCAACAAAGGACAAAGGTATACAGAAACCCCAACAATGTGTGGGTCCTACTACTTTAATAATATTTTCCCATGCTTTTTTAAAGGTAATAATGGATACTAGGCAGTTTTGTATCAATTTTATCATCAGTCTTTATGAAATGTCTGCAAAAAACACTACTGGAGTATTAATAACTGTTATTTTGGTTCTGCAGGTTGCCCTGGGTGTTTTGCTGTGTCAATAATGTTGAGACATCTAGTCCATTATTTGAGATGGTTTTCCATTTTCTTGGGTCCTTGATTTCTTTCACCAACCTTATGCAGATTTTAAAGATCTTCAACTGGTGTGTGTTCCTGTGTATACCTGCATGTGCATGTGTGGTTGTGTGTATTCATGTGTGTACCTGCATGTGTGTGTGGTTGTGTGTATTCATGTGTGTACCTGCATATGCATGTGTGGTTGTGTGTATTCATGTGTGCACCTGTATGTACGTGTGTGGTTATGTGTGTTCACGTGTGTACCTGTATGTGTGTATGTGGTTGTGTGTGTTCATGTGTGTACCTGCATGTGTATGTGTGGTTGTGTGTATTCATGTGTGCACCTGTATGTGCGTGTGTGGTTGTGTGTATTCATGTGTATACCTGCATGTGTGTACGTGGTTATGTGTGTTCTTGTGTATACCTGCGTGTGTGTATGTGGTTGTGTGTGTTCATGTGTGTACCTGCATGTGCATGTGTGGTTGTGGTGCCTAGCATCTACAGCAGTGCCTTCTGAATACCAGTAAGATGTTCTACCATAGAACTATATTTCCAGTTTGTTCTTTAGTTCTTCACTTTGTTCAGCGTTAAAATAGATTTTTAAAAACTATAGTGTAGGGCTTTCACTACTTGTGCATAAAAATATATGTGATGGTTTTATCTTGATTTTCAGTTTTCAAATATGTGAAATTCCTTCATTAACTTTGATAATCGAGGGTTGGTTCTTTATGATTTACTATAATTGAGATCATATTATAAGTAAATATAGATCATTTTATAATTTCTTTTCCAAAATGAATGTCTTTTACTTTTCTTGCTTAGTTTTCTTGCATAAGTAGAATTTTCAGTACAATGCACAACAGAAGTGATAATAGAAAATATCTTTGTGTTATATATACCTGATCATGAGGAGAAAGTTCCAACCTTTTTCCACTTAGCATAGCATTATCTATGTGTTTTTATTTATTTAAAAACATATTTGCAGTCTAACTTAAAATTCCAGAGTTAGGTTGTGCAGTGTAGAGCTCCAGAGATTCAGAAAATGAACCCAAGACCAGAAATATGAATGTTTCAAATTTTTATTATTAAATATACTTAAAATTATTCTCCCAAATCTTCCTTAGTGGAGAGTGACTACAGAATAACCTGGTGTTGTGTTTGTGACATCTCAGCTAAAGGGAGTCATCTCAGTCAACATTCTGAAATGAGCTTTCTTTGAGAATGTGGCTGGTTATTTTAATGTGCACTTTTTTTTTGAGTTGCAGATTGCCTTTGTCCTGTATCCTCTCAGTGGAAGTCCTGCATGGAATCTGTCAGATATTGAGAATAAAATGTTTCTCACCATGTGCTTTACTTGGCATTATGCATCAACCTTTATCATCTCTGGATTAAATTATGCTTTTATCACCTGGTAAGTTAGCGTTTTTCTTTTTTTAATGTGTGGTCCCTTGCATATGTCTATCAAGATTTGACAGTGTTGAACTTCAAATTCAAAAGGAAGAGTTCACTCTTGCCTTCTTTGTTTTTTTTTT